CTGGACAAACAGGAAACACTTAGTGTTATCAGCTCACTCTTTGTGTGCGTCCCAACGAGTGTCATACTAACTTCAGAGAGAGGAACACACACACACCAAGGCTAACATAAACACAGCAGTAAAAGTAACAGAAAAAGAAGGACAAACTGAAGGAGGGCCGGACCGAGCAGGAGGAAACAGAAGAGAGGAAGGGAATTTCACTTCCTGGTTGTGAACTCAAAACAGCAGTCTTCTATAGATTAGGTGACCAAATTCTAATTTTGTATAGTTCTGAATATTTGCATTGACCATATTTTATTAACAAAATGAATGAACTAACCATCCAAATGCCACTTTTCTGTTTTTTCAGACATGATACCAGATTTTCCAATAAAAAGATCTTTCCTTTTCAGACCTGTGTAATAGGTTTCCCGCTCCCTCATAGACAAAAATATACTGTTTCCTCCAAGTCATGGGTAGGTTAGAGTTATTTGTTATGTGCAAAATCAACACAAGGTCAACAATGTAATGAAATACTTGGGACGAGAAGAACTGTCTCGACTCGGCAAAAAAAAAAAAGGAAGAGAAAACAACAAGAAATATCAAATCATGCAGCAAAAATACTAAAAACATGCGAAAAATATACTACTAACTAGAGCTGCACCGATCTGATATCAATATTGGTATCTGTATCGATATCTGAAAAACTTCTGGCTCCGGGTATCGGTGACAATGTGACCGATCCATTTTCTGATCCAATCTGCAGAGATTTCCGATCCATGATGCGTGTTGGCTTCAAACTATGGAATGGATTTCCTGAACGGAGGCGTGTCTCATGAACCCAGAGTAATAAGACCCGCCTCACATTCAGGAAATCCATTTCATAGTTTGCAGCCAGCTACAATGTGAGGACTGAGTTAGCATCACTGTGGCTAACAGCTAACATACTTTTCATCTAAACTTGTCCACTGTGTGGAAGTATTTTACACTAGAAACACCACAAAACAAGACAGCAACATGCAATGTCTGCAGAGCCATAGCACCACATTAAACCGTGATAAAGTTAATTTTACGATGGACATTCGAGCTCCGGGGCTTCAGCGTGGCGCTACTCTCGCTGAACCCGAAACGGGCAACTCGACTCCGGCCAGCCGCGTCCAATCTGCCCCACTAAATCTGCCCGTCTCTGAGGAGGGGCAGACTGAGCGCGGCTGACCGAAATCAGGCTGCTTGCTTCGGATTGAACAAGAAGAAAACATCACTAAAGCCCCGGAGCTCAAATGTTTACTGAGAAGCTGCTAAACTTCATCATAATTAATGACCAACCACTATCAGTTGTAGAAAACGAAGGATTTCGCAGCTTGATACTTGCAGTCAAGATATAGTTTATATAGATATAGTTTTTTTATAGTTTGTTTGTTGGTTTATGCCATGAACTTAGTGTTTAGAGCCATTTAACATTGCCATTGCATTGCATAGGAAAGCAGCATTCAATAGGTTTGTTTTGCTAAAGTGTAACAAAATCTTTTTTTTAAGATTTCATTGTTTTATTTTCCTGCATATTTTATATCAATGGAAAACTTAAAAATAAATAAATAAATAAAAAAGTTTAATCGCCTTATTTATTTTTTATTTTTGCAATATTCCTCCCAGCTCATGATCTTTACATTAGCCTCCCTGTGATGACGCTACGTTTGTACCCGTCAGAAAGTGGAGCACTGCATTCCGCTCCACTTAAAATTGTCAACTACAATGTAGTCCAGTTCTGTGACTGTCCTGACTGCCTTTCAGCTGTTGCTTCAGCCTGCTAAAATCCTGCAGGCCTGTCACACAGCCCTACTGTACTGAGCATTATTCTTTTCTTTGTTCATTTAAAAAGTACCAGCATAAGCTTTTCATTTTGATTTTGTCACTTTTAGACTTTTGTTTGTGTCCTGCAGCTCGTACTTTTTAAATTCTCAAAAATCAGAAATGATCTACGTACAACTTTGTGTTGGAGCCAAATTGCAAGAAGGATGTTTTTCTTATAAAGCAAAAATATGCTAGTCCTATAAATGTTGCTTCTGTTGGTTTATACTTTTGCTGTTGGAAAGCATAAACAAAGTGATGCCAAAATTTTAAATACCCATAGTTAATAGCACTGATTTGAAAAAAAAAAAGTTTTACATTGCAGTCTGATTTATATTTTAGAAAAAAAAGAGAAAATGTTGACTTCCACTGTGGATATGCTGGCTATTTAGATGAGTTAAATATATATGACAGGTTTTAAATTTTGAAGTTTAAAACTCCCTTGAAACAATCTGACAGCCAACCATAGCATGAACAAATCTCCACTGAAGCTGAAATGTAATATACTGTAGTCAGTATATTACTAGAAATGTACAGTCAGTATGTTACTACTTATATACTCAATGCTAGTCAGTTATAAAAGTATTTTTCTAAGCTCTGAACAAAGAAAATTAAAACATAACCTTTTTAAGTGCCTCCCTAGTGAATAGTATCCCAACTTTTCTTACTACTCCAATATTTTAAAATGTGTATTCTCTGTATTATTCTGAGCAATTTGCTCTTCAAGTTGAACGCCTTTGAATTCAACTGTATTTTATAAAACACGTTTATATCTACTGCATCACAGAGACTTGGTTATTTAGATGGCACACTTTGTAGATTTATTTTGTTGAGCGAATTAAATGTTTTACAACAAACAAAATCTGCGTAATTAAATAAAAAACTGAATAGGCAGAACTGAGTTTTCTTCAGAAATAACCAGTTCTGTCAAAGGAGCCCAGGAAAGGTGAAATCCCAACATTGCATCAGAAGAGTTGTGACATTTATTAGGAAAAATTTAGAAACTAAAATCTGATTCAGTCTCTTATAGGTCAGTAGTGTTTATTGTTTAAAAAGTAAGGTAAAGATCAACTCAGTATTAGTGTTAATACAGAACCATTCCAACTGTTGGCTTGTCATTTATAGAAGTGTGTTTATATAGTAGCTGCTGCTTCCTCATTATAAATCCACTCAATTAAAGCTGTTGGTTTTGCCTAGGCCTGTCATGATAACAAATTTTGCTGGGCGATTAATTGTCTCAAAAATTATTGTGATAAACGATAATATTGTTTGAAATTTGACAATAATTAGTAATTATAATTAGTAATTATTGTCAAATTTAAGAAGAAATGTTGGTTAATTTGTTTTGAGAGTAGTATATTTGTTTGACCACCGGATGGCAGTATAAGACTGTTTGAAGCGAAGGATGGATAGTAAGGAAGCGAGCAGCATGTGTCTTTAAGAAAAATTGGAGGAAGACCCCTTGACGTGACATGGGCTCTCTCTCCTTCCTGTTTTTTGGTTCTCAAAATGGCGGCCGCTCGGTGTGGTTTGAGCGCTTTAGCATAGTATTTGTCATCTTTTTCAGAGAAAAACAACTTTTTAGACAAAGGCACAGGTTTCAACCGTGAATTTTGGAGCTTCGACAAGATGAAAGTTTTTTTCCCCCGAGGTCGGCCTGTTAGCTTAGCTCGTAGCTTAGCTTCTCAGCTTAGCTGCTTTTAACAATCCAAAAACACGATTTTAGACTGTTAAAGTGGATTTTAAAGAGAAAGGGAGGGGTCAGTGAAGAGCACCGAAGTTGAGCCTTTTGTCCTCCATTGTCCAGTAGAAAGAGAGAGACACGAAGAAACGATAAAGCCGATAAATGAAAATGAGGTCGATAATTTTCATTTATCATGCGATTAATTGATTTATTGTTTATTGAGACAGGCCTAGTTCTGCACTTCCTGGTAGCCAAAAAACAAGATAACAATAGTGCTGGTCTCTTAAACAAATGCTGCCTTTTTTCAATTAAACCCATTAAAAAACTTTCATTTTTGTTCTACATTTTATTGTATTTGGTTGAACTCAAATCCAACAAGCACATGTTATCTTCTCTGAATGAATCAGTGCTTTCTACGCTGATTTAATAACAACTGTAATAAATGCATTTTCTTCTATGCAGGCAAATGTGACATACAGCTTACTTTATTAGAATCCCAGTATTTTTTTTTTAAATGTTATTCTTTATATATGTTGATGACATTGAGTCTTAGCTGCAGAGCTCGGTGGTCATCCTGGCTGTTTAAGTGATCGAGGAGGTTTTTATAGCCCTGCATTTTTCTACCAGCTATGCAAAATGTATTGCAATGTTTGCACTTGGGTGTTTGCCCCAAGGCTATTTACACCCTGCAGCGCTATGTTGGCTTATTGCTCTTTCTAAAAAAAGGGGTTCCGTTTTTCATCACATGGATTAATGGAATCAAAGCTAACCTTCTTCTCACACGTACTGTCACTCAATAGGCTATCAGGTCAAATCTAATACTGTACTGCAAACTGATATGCACAGGTGGTAGCTGGGAGAGCTGACTGATGAACTGTTGCCAGCTCAGTGGGGGTAGTCCTCTTTCCAATTTTATCCAACCTAAATGCATTTTATTTTGTCTTTAATACAGGATGTTCTCAATATGAACTCTTGGCCCTACAGCAGGTCTGTTTGAGTTTATAGCGGTGGTCTGCTCTTAATTCCTGCTTCGTTGATTCTTCTACTTGTGTAAATATTCTCTGAATGAGATCATGTTTGAAGCTTTCCAATAGCTGACCTCTCTCTATCAGTGATGCAAATGTGTGCCCATTTGGTTTGCATAGATGTGTTGCAATGAGCATGTTCTCACAGGATGTTGGTTATGTGTGCCTCTGCACTTACGATCATAAATGTTTTGTGCAGGCCACAGCAAAGCCAAAAAACATTTGCTCCCTTCTGAGAAGCATTACTCACATTCTGGGCATCTCCGGCATTAGTACTGCAAACTCAGACTCGCTGATAATAAAGCACATTATTAATAATGAACAACAGCAATAGCAGTTTTATTATTTGATACAACATGCTGAAATTTTGGGGTCAGTATTGGTTAATCCTTTTGATATGTATTACTTGGGTCTTCTTAATCTATAATGCTTGTGTTTATATGTTTTTTCATTTTTCCCTGTAGGTCAACGAGTGGAACAAAAATGATGAGCGCCTGCTTGCTGCAGTGGAGCACGGCGAGGCGGACAAAGTTGTGTCCCTGCTGAGTAAGAAAGGTGCCAATGCTGTGAAGTTGGACAGCGAGGGCAAATCAGCGTAAGCATTCCTTTTGTTGTCTGCAGAAGTTTTGTTTTCTCTGTGCACTATATTTATCTTTGTTCTTGTAAAATCAATGCACGAGTCCCATAATAACAATGACTGCAATGCTTGAGTTATATTCTTTGCCACTGTGATTGTTAAATAAATGCGCAAAATAATGCTGGTCAAATAGTTTACTCAAGAATTTCTGCAGAATGAGAATAAAATGTGAAGAAATATTAGATAAGCATGTTCAGTGCAGAGGCTGGATAAGGAGTTATTTCGCTGATGTAAAACAATCATCAAGCATTTGTTCAGGTTAGATATTTTTGAAGTATTTTAAAGTTTTACATACCTCAATGACAGTATACTCAAGGTTTTAAGCTTCAGAAAGTACTTTAGTGTTTTGCAACACAGAGCTAAAATGAATTTTCCAGTGTCTTTTAGCTCTCCAAAGACCCATATTTTTCAGCCTCCTTGACTTTCAGTGTTTTGAGAGCTGATTCATATCTGTAGAGGCAGTTGAGCTTCTTGTCACACCGGCTATGTTGTGTTGATAACACACAGGTTCAGTGTTAATTTTTGACCTCTTTCTTTTCCCTGCACACAACACCTTTTGACCTCCTTGTGTCAGAGTTCACGCAGCGCAAGTCTAATCGAAACGTGGGATAAGAGGTACTAGGAAACAAAAATGCAGATTCTCACAGGCTGAAACAAATAGGCTCTTTTATTTCACCCGTAGTGCTAATCCTTCTGTCTGTGCCTCTGCAACACAAAAACACGCAGGCGGGGGCATACACACAATCTCCGTAGATCATGATGTGTTGTGATTTGCAATCAGAATCCTCCAATCTATTCAGAAAGCACAAAAAAAGAATCTCCAGGATCTCTATGGTGATAAAACCTGACTGAAAGGCATGTAGGCATAGTTGTGTGTTTCTTTGTGTGCAACATGTACACACTAAGGGAAGACAGGGCATCTGAACATGTTTTGTTTTTTGTTCAGTGAGGTGGATAGGGGTTTAAGGAACACTGGGTGATATGAAGCAGTGGTTTATCTGGTACACCAGTATAATTGGTAAACTCTTGCCTCATGTGACGACTTGTGCTCAGTTGACACATTTAGATTCTGCAAACTGGATATAGACATGATCTTGATTCTTTTGTGCACCATTAAAGAATATGTTTTATAAATTATAGTAAATATATGCCTATTGATAAGATAACTTATAGGCTTTTTTAAATGCTGATGGAGAAGTACAAAGAGGGTCAGAAAGAACTCTATTTTGTCTTTGTGGATTTAGAAAAAGCATATGACAGAGTGCTGAGGGAGGAGGTGTGGTATTGCATGAGAAAATCTGGAGTGGCAGAAAAGTATGTTAGACTGGTACAGGACATGTATGAGGACAGCAGGACAGTGGTGAGATGTACTGTAGGAGTGACGGATAGCTTCAAGGTGGAGGTGGGAGTGCATCAAGGATCGGCTCTGAGCCCCTTCTTGTTTGCTCTGGTGATGGACCGACTAACGGATGAGGTCAGGCAAGAATCCCCATGGACGATGATGTTTGCAGATGATATTGTGATCTGTGGTGAGAACAGGGAACAGGTGGAAGAGAACTTGGAGAGGTGGAGGTATGCACTTGAAAGAAGAGGAATGAAAGTCAGCTGTAGTAAGACAGAGTACATGTGTGTAAATGAGAGGGAGGCCGGTGGAACAGTGAGGCTACAAGGAGCAGAGGTCACAAAGGTGCAGGACTTCAAGTACTTAGGGTCCACTGTCCAGGGAAATGGGGAATGTGGTAAATAAGTGAAAAAGAGAGTCCAGGCTGGATGGAGTGGATGGAGAAAAGTTTCAGGAGTGATTTGTGACAAAAGGGTGTCAGCAAAGGTCAAAGGAAAAGTTTACAAGACAGTGGTGAGACCAGCTATGTTGTATGGTCTGGAGACAGTGGCATTGACAAAAAGACAGGAGAAAGAACTGGAAGTGTCAGAAATGAAGATGCTGAGGTTCTCTTTAGGAGTGACGAGGCTTGATAAGATTAGGAATGAGATCATCAGAGGTACAGCACAGGTTGAACAACTGGGAGATAAAGTTAGGGAGGCCAGACTGAGATGGTTTGGACATGTCAAGAGGAGGGACAGTGGGTATATTGGTAGAAGGATGTTAGAAATGCAGCTGCCAGGAAAAAGACAAAGAGGAGATATATGGATGCAGTTAGAGAGGACATGACGGTAGTTGGAGTGAGGACAGAGGATGCAGAGGACAGAGTGAGGTGGAGGACGATGACTCGCTGTGGCGACCCCTGAAGAGGGAAAAGCTGAAAGAAGAAGAAGAATTGTGACTAGACTTGTGTAGACCAGGAGTCTTATTCAGGAGTGCTGACAGAATGGAGTATCAGATAGATTGGCGCTTTGTCCACAGTAATGAGTTTGTTTCTCTGGTCTGTTGTGGTAAAGAAGGAGCTGAGCCGAAAGGCAAAGCTCTCAATTCACAGGTCTGTACATTCTGGTCTTCCCCTAACGTCAGGAGGTACAGCTCAAAATTTAAAGAAAATTATTAAAAAATCCTGGATACAAGCATGAATGGGCTTCCTCTATTGGGTTTCTGGGCTCAGTCTTAGAGAAACGGTAAGTTCTGTCATCCGATCGGAGCTCAATGTAAAGCTGCTGCTCCTCCACATCGAAATGAGTTAGCTGAGGTGGTTCAGACATCTGATTAGGATGCCTTCAGGGTGCATCCCTCAAGAGGTTTTCCAGGCACATCTCTTTGGGAGAAAACCCTGGGACATACCCAGAACTTGTTGGAGGGATTGTGCATTTGTTTTTACTCTGGGACTTCTTGGGATCCCCCTGGAGGAGCTGGAGAATGTTGCTAGGTAGATGGATGTCTGGGAAGAAAAAGGATGGATTATCCTTACACTTGAACACTCCAAAGTCATGCTCAAAGAAGTAAATATAGATCTGAGAAGCTGCCGTTACTATTAAATAATGAGCTATTAGGTATCTCACTTGGTTTGATGTTTGGTTTTAAAATCTTTGACAAGGTGGCTTTCAGGTTGTCTGCAAATCTGAAGAAAGGAATTTGATTGGTTCATGGATCTGCCAAAATTAAACTAAAATCCTTTGATGAAGTTAGCTCTATTTTTATTAACTATGACTTTTGTCTACACACTCAAACTACAGTAAACATGTCCCGTTTTGATGAGTTCCATACTATGACAAAGACATGTCTTAGTTATGTATTTTTACAGTGTACCACTTTGCAAACAAATACTTTTGCTTGTAGGATAGGAACCAACTCTTAACTGGCTGCATTTTGGTTCAAGACAAGTTTTGTAACATCCTTGTGACTGAGGTTAAAGTTCTGCAAATCTAATTTGCTGTTTGGCTTTGAATGTGTGTGCAGTCTTCATGTAGCTGCTGCTCGTGGCCAAACCGACTGTCTAGCTGTGATCTTGTCTCATGGAGCTGACCTGTCAGTCACTGACACTGCTGGTATGTTTTATAATGAAGTATTATGAGAATTGTGTGTATTCTTGTATTGTGTGTACATGTTTGTTGTGTTTATCTGTATTCTGTATTTGCAGGATTAAACATTTGAGTCTAAAAACATCTAGAATTCACAAACAATGTCAGGATTTTACCACCTACTTTCTTTTTGTTTATTCATTTTGATTTTTTTTTTCTTCGTTCTTTAAGGTTTTACTCCTTTACACCTGGCTGCCAAAAACAATCATGTGGAATGTTGCAGAAAACTTATTCAGGTAACGTTAATAAAGTTGAAATACATTAAATGAATTTGTAGTTTGTAGTAAAATGCCCTTGTTTTGCGTAGTTTGGTTACAATGTACTGATAAGCAAGAACCAGTTTTGTTAGATCAAGTATTTGTTTACCAGCAGTTTTTTTGTTGGATGCAGTATTTGTGCAGAAATCAAACCTGTAATGTGTGAACGTACGTGTAATACATGAAACATGCAGTGTGAACTCTGTATACTGACAAGATATCTGGAAGCGGACACTTTCACTACTTCATTTCTCTGCTCATTGTGTGTTCAGATCAGCAGATTTTAGCAGGAGAAAAGGCAGACTCGCACTCCTGCTCCGATTTGCTGATTACTACCTAATGACTTTGCAGGATTTCTGCAATGCAAACCTCTTTGGTTAGTCTGCTGCATAGCAAAATTGGTAAAATATATAATGTAATGCTGTACAACTTGGAGTTATTAATCTCTTTTTATACCAAAGAACAGCTAAAGAAAATAATTTGATCATGTAATAAACTATTTGCTGCAGAGCATTTAGTGCAATCAAAGTTACTTACAACTCCAGCAGTTACTTAAAACTCCAGTACAGAACAGACTTTTTTTGTTGTTGCATAAATCAAATGACAAACAAGGTTTTACTGTAAATTTAGTGCCTTTGATATAAAATAGTCTTAAATGGGAGCACAAGTAATTTTAACTTATTTGGACACTTCCAGGAAATGCATCAGCAGCACGCTGAGCACATAATAATTTATTTGTCACAAAATACATCATTTTTTTAACCTGCTTCATTTATTAAAATACTTTTTTTTGTGTTTTTTAAACACAGAGTAAATGTCCCGTTGAAGCCGTAGACAGCTCAGGAAAAACTGCTCTGCATCATGCTGGTAAGTGACTCAGCAGCGGGAGAGTTAATTATATAGAAGGGCTTTTCTAGAGAGCCAGTCTGCTTTCAGAAGGACGTGGGAACATTTCTTGTGAGATTAAGTTTAAGCTGTAATTTTATTTGGATGAAAATCATCTTTCATACCTAGAATTAAGTGTTTTTTAAAATTTTTATATATTCTCAGCTGTTGGTGGGAACGTGCAGATTGTTCAACTGCTGTGTGAAGTGAAAAGTCCCATCAACCTAAAAGATGCTGTACGTATTTTTATTAATACTTCTAATCTATCCCCCTTTTTACTGGCATGGTGGAGGAGATCTTTGACAGAATGAAGAATACAAATATGTTCCAAACATTGGTATTGGGCAACGTTGGTATTTCTACAAGTATTGTAATTATTTGGGATTTTCTTAAAGATTTACCTGCTTACACCACATCTACTTTCAAGTACATTACTTTCTTAGTGAGTATCCTTTTAGGTTGTTATGAGATGAAAACATTCACTGTAAAGTGTAAATCATCTGCAGGTTTTTCAATAGATTTCTGCAGAAGGGGAAACTTAGTGAACTGACATTTCCTCTCATTTATCATCTGTTTGAAGATTGATTTCTGTGCATGTGTAAGGTAGAAGGTCAGAGTTCTGTGGGAACTCAAGCTGCAGGCATGTGGTCTCTATTGCAGTGACGGACCATGCCTGTGGTTTTTACACAGCTGGAATCTGTTGAAAGCACAAAAAAGCATGTGTTTGTGTTAGAAATTTTAAAAAAGAGGAAAGAAATTAAGAAGTTTCCAGTTTATTTTCATTGTGCTGTTATGCAACTCTTGGCGTCTTAGAAAATATATCTGTAACATCTCATCTAGTTGAAACTAGATTATTTCCTGGATGTTAGGATGTAAACTGTAAGCAGCAAATTACAGCGTATGTTTCTAAAAAGAAAGGGAACATTACATATTTTAAACATATCAATTAGGAAAGACAGACAAATTGCTAAAAATTTTCATTATTTTCTTTAAAAACAAAGAGAAATCATGTCATTGCTTTCACTGAAGATCATTTACAAAGCTGTAATAATCTGCACGCATTTGTGCGCGTGCTAGCATGTGCATGTGTGTGGGTGTGTATGTGTGGTTGGAGCTGTTCATGTTTGTGAGTTGGATGCAGACTCTGAATCAGCCATGTGAAACAAAATATATTTTTATGCTAAGCAGAACATGCCAGCTCGTTGGCCTTGGGCACATATCATGGTGGCTGTATCATAAACCTGCACCAGAGTTATATCTGGCTGAAAAAAAAACTGTTAAATTTAAAATGAAACAAGAACATCTGTCAGGTCAAACATGTCAGTGTCAATTTTATTTTTAAGGCATGTTTTAAACAACAAGGTTGACTGAAGTGCATCCCAAGTTCAACACAAACTGGAAAAAAACATCAGTATTATACTTTTTTTTTAAATCGCACATAAAAACAAAAAGTACAAGTTTCTGTCGACTGATTCCTTTTGGCAGGGGTTGCTACAGCGAGCAAACTCGCATGAAAGATTTGGCAGTTATTTTAACACTGGATGCCCTTCCTGACACAACCTGGGATTGAACCTGCAACCTCAGGATTACAAGACCGTGGCACTGGCCACATACAATTAAACATGCTTAAATAAATCTAAAACAAGGAAATACCACATCATAAAATACCTAATGGGACTCGAACTGAATTCATAAAAGTCATGGTAAAACTCATGAGTTCTCAAACAAATTCTTTGTCAAACAAAAGTTATGAAAATTTTAATAAATACAAGCTTTATTGTACTCGAATATCAGGAATATGCTGGATAACGCCTAATATTTTCTATTGCTTTTGAAAAAATACTGAGTATTTATAGTGCAGCTCCTCAGACTGAAGAAGTCTTCTAGATAAAAGATGAAATGTTTCAACAAAGAAGAATCCGTCCAGAGGACCTGCCTCAACCTTGTCAGATACTCGGTATTTAGTTCAACAACTTATAAAAAATACTCAGCCTAAAGTATTCGTATATTGCAGTTTATTTGATTCCACAATACATGACATTGAAATCTCTTAAATGATCAATTTATTGGAACAAAAAATCTCTACAAAGGTGCTATACTGTACATCTTATAATGTACTACAGAAATAATACAGTACCTTACTCTGTTTACTCTGTGGGGCGGCTGTGGCTGAGTGGTTAGAGCAGTCGTCCTCCACTGCAAGAGCTGGCGGTTCAATTCCACCAGCAGTCACATGCTGAAGTGTCTCTGGGCAAGACACTGAACCCCTCATTGCCTCTGATGTGTGTCCCATCGGTGCATGAATGTGATAAAGCACTGATTATTCTTAGTACAGAAATAGTAGAGTGCAGTATGAACGGGTAAATGAGGGCTACAGATTGTAAAGCGCTTCAAGTATCTCAATAAGATAGAAAGGTGCTATATAAGTATAGTTTATTTACTCAAGTATGACTAGAAAAATAATGAAAATAATGATTGATAAACATAAGTATATATATTTTTCAGTAAGTTGAATATTTTCCTTTGAACAAATGGTAAACACAGTGTGGGGTTTATTGTACTTTGGGAACTACATCAACACTGATTGTGAATCACTGTGCATGTGTATTTCATGCAGTATAGAAACAATTTAGACTAGATTTAAGTTGGCACAGTAAGCAACAAAACACAGAAAGGTGTATTTTGTCACCAGTACTTTAATGTTTAGCGGTATCAGGATGGTTGTTTTCTGACAAATGATTGTGTGGTATAATAAGAGGTTAGACCATGAGGTAGAAAAAAATAGAAAAATAAAATAAAACAATTTTAGGTTCTGTTAATCTCTTGTTTGGGATTCTATTTACCGGTAGTCAGATTTCTTAGCATAAGCCAAAATGCTGGTAAACCCTCAACTCATTTCCTTCTAACATTAAGTGAACTATATAACGTCTGATAAGAATTTCCTAGTAAAAGCAAAGCAAAGTGTAAAAATTAATAACTTGGACTTTGCACTTTTAAGGTTTGTTGAATGCAGCGTGACTTGTAGTCCAATTTATGAGGTATAGAAACCAGACAGTTTTACTCATCTATTCCCTTACTTTTAAATACCCACTGAATAAGTGTCTAATCAATTCTAATATCTGAGTTTATAAGTGAGAGGTGACTTCAGACACCAAGATACATCCAAAAAGACACAAACAATGTACAAATAGAATGCTCTTTCTAAAATAACACAACAGAGGTATTTTATTATTATATATTGGACATCATTTATAATAATTTAATAATAAAACAGAACATGCTTTTTAGAACCTGACCATATGGAAATTTTGGCTATCACCAATGCCAATATTGGAATGGGAAGGCTTGAAACAGTCTTCCTAATGCACATTCACATTTTCTGTCCTCCACTATTCACCATAAAGTTATCAAGTGTGTTACAAGAATATAAATTAAACAAAGACACACCCTTCCCTGTTCAATGTTTACAGTCACTTATGATGAAAGCCTAATTAGTATTAACCGCAGCTGCATTTTTTCTTTCTTTGCAGAGAAGTTTAGATTTCAGACAAACAATGCATTTCATTGAGGACGACAAAGATAATGTTACTAACCCTGATATATTTTACCTCTACGTTAGACTTATTGTTCTGGCTAAAGTTTTGCAAGGCAATAGCCTATGCTAAATGTTAGCTTGCTAACTTGAGAGGCACATGGCTAATGACAAGCAGGTTGGAGGATTGAAGAATTTATTACTGTTGATTTTTTGTTGGTTTGTTTTACGGATCAGTTAAAATAAACTCACCATGTTCTGTTCAGCAAAATATACTACACAGTATTTGGTTGCTCCCTGCTTAGACTGTGCTGAAAGTGAAAGTGAAAGTGAATGGCTATGACTTGAAAGTAGCTGCATGCGCCCTCTGCTGGGCACATTGTACAAGTACACCTTTTGTTCCCAGTGTTCATATCGGCGAATAATGGGACAATTATCACTGTCCCCAATATGTCCCCAACAGCTTCTATCGGCATAAAATATCGACCCTACCAATATGTCAGTCTGGCTTTAATACTTTTATTGAGCTTTAAGAACGTTAGTGCTACATGCATTTTGAATGACAAATGTAAAATAATAATAATAATAGTTAGGACAGTTTGAACTTTGCTTATATGTGATTTAATGCAACATTTGCATAGGGTTGCATAAAAAGTGTATTTTTCTTTAAACCGAGGCATGGTCATATTATATTATTCTTTTTGACTGACAGGCCTCTGGGACTGAAATACATACCAGTAGATGCTTCTTGTTTTCTCCACTTCATTTTCCCTCAAGCTTTACACTGTCGCCCGAATGTGGATATTTAGTTGATGATTGCAAGTTATGAACACAATTTAAAGCTCACAAAACAAGCCAAGTAATACACCTGTGTATTCACACACGTACACACTTAATCTATTGCCCAGAAAAGGACAGAATTGTTTTTGCGTTGTGGTTTCCAGAGCAGCAGAAACATACTGAGAAGTGGGGCTGTTAATGTGTTTAGCAGAGCTCAGAGAAGCCCAGAACATAGTTTATTTCTTTTTGGTTTGTCAAAACAGCAGCAGCTTTGTAACATAAAACACCCGGCTATGCTGACACACTTGGGTTAGACTTTTTGTTTCTTTTTCTAACGACTTGCTTTAAAGCTGATAACAGAAGTTTGGCGAAGTTGTCGTTGTGCCTTATGTTGTTACATAACTGTAGCTTACTCAAAATTAAGAATTGTTATAACTTCTTAACTTAACCTCAGGTCCGTCAGCTGTGTTGTCCTGAGCTGAACCTTCTGATCAGCAGTTCTGAGGCAGTAAGCTCCATCAGCTGTCTTCACTGGTCAAATGTTTCAGCTGGGCTCTGGTAACATGAGGCTAAGTTTACATTAAATGTCATGGCAGGAGTTGGAATAAGTCAGTCTTGGTGAAAAATGTGCTACGTTTGATAAAAAAAACAGTTGCAGTCTCCCAGTTCTGACAACCATGTGATACATTCTACATATCCCACTCCTTAAAGCTGCAGTTATACCATCTGGGGCTTTTCTCCCACTCATATACAGTCATTTGATAAGTGGTTTATGTCTCAATTTAGTTGAAACGATTAGCAGATTTAGGACAAGCTCACTAAGCTAATTTGGTACTCACTGAAAAACTGGCTATAATTTTAAGACCCATAGAGCACCATTTGAAAATTTTCCTCTTATCTTCTTAAAAAAGAAAAAAGTTTGTCATTTATATCAAGAATAAATATGTTTCACCACTCACGTTTAAATTTATTTTAATTGCAGGTCTGTTTGAATGCTTTCATGCATGTACTGCCACTTTAGATTCCTTTTTAACTTTTCAGTGTGAATGGAAAATAGGCTATAGTTTAAAAACACTATTTTTGCATCTTTCTTTGGTGAATTTTCTTTTAACAACATACAAACTATATCACTTCACCACTGTGTTTAAAACTTAAGTTTTCCCACAAAACAATCTCAAACAAAACAGACATTTTGACTTCAAAACTATCACCTTTGCCTTCAGACCACATTGCAAAATGTCTAAGCTTCATCTTGTTTATTTTATATTTATCACTGACTCTTTGGTCGTTTTGAACAAAAATGTTATTTTCTGAGTGTAGGCCCGTGCATTTGGAAGCAAACGGCTGCAAGAAATGTTTGCAAGTGCTGGGAGTAAATGTTGGGGTTATTGGAAATTTATTTTAAATTTGCTAATATTAGCAATTGCAATCACTTGTAAATAATAATTTCATATAATCAAAGACCTTTTTCAATTTTGTTTTGACTTCACAGGCATCTCAAACCTATTTCTAAAGGCAACTGATATTTATTTTATGAATTTAAAATGTCCTAAATCTAAATGCATCCACTTTTTCTATGTTGGCATGGTTACATTTTATATTTTCAGCAAAAAAAAAAAAAAAGTATATTTTAATATTTTGAGTTGATTGTGTTTTTTAAGCAAGGCAAGATTACCAGATATTTTCTTATTTATGTTCAAAACCAGTTTTAATGTAGGCACAACTGTACATAAAACTAAGTTTGGATGTAAGAAAAAGAAAGCCATGCTATCTTTACGCGAGCTAAAACATGAATATACAATAGGACACTTTCATTCTTTCTTCACACACAGACCTGAGATTTTTCTCATCGCACCGTTAGTTGACAGACTGGATGTAAAGTCCCAAACACTGGTGTCCTACGTGGTAATTTATAGGTGTTTGTATTCATGCATATCTGCAAACCATTCACTGTGAAAATACTTAACGTGTTTTTATCGCCTGTTTGTTCCAAAGGATGGGCTCACTCCCTTGATGCTGTCAACCAAACACAGTCATTCTGAGGTTTGCAGCACTTTGCTGGACTGTGGTGCTGAAGTCAACATCTCTGACAACACTGGCAGGTAAACACATTTAACTTGCTCTCAGAATCGTTTATATAGTATGTGCTGCACAAAGCCAGACGTTTTATTCAGCCATCAGTAAGTAAGAGCTGCATTTATAAGGAATCGTTTTGTTCTGTAGGACAGCCTTGATGCTTGCCGCTGAGTCCATCTCAGTATCTGAGGTTGAAGTTTTGGTTCAACGAGGAGCAGACCTATCACTTGTAGATTCAGAAGGACATGATGTTGTACACTACGCCATGCTGTCAGGCAGCTCTGAAGCCAAATCCGCCCTCTTGGCTGCTCTGAACAGACACCAACTTTTAGGTAAGTGTTACAAAAAAAACACACGGAGAATAAAAAAACTGTGTAAACCACTTTTATTTGTCCATGTCCTTGTTTTGGTAGTGGATTTTATGTCTGCATACCATAATTGGCTGCTATGGGAGTGCATTAAATGATCCAGTCTCTATGCAACCTTGATCTTATCCTCGTGTTAAACCAAAAACATTTAAAACTTGATGGTTGATGCTGTTAGAGACAGCTTTGTTTTTTGTTTTTTTTGGTTTGTTTTTCTGGATAGACAGTATGCCACAATTAACCACCTTGAAATTTGCAAAAGTGTAATTTCAGCATAAAATCAACACTGCCATCTGTTGGTGAACTCTGATTACTGTTAGACTTTTGTTTAAAAAAAATGTTCTGTATTTGTAGTGGTTTATAACATTTAAATAACTTGTAGTTCTTTTTTTGTCTTGGCTTGCTTGCTGTCTCCTTTTGCAGATCCCAGGTCTTCTAAAAGTCCTCAGGTAAGACAACCCCTTTATACCTCCACGCTGTCTCGCACCAAATCTACCCTGCAACCAATCAATGACGATAAGAGTGCAAGTTTTTACTAAAAAGCACAGAGTCAACACAGTGATTTATTTGGAAAAGAGTCATTAAAGCAGTTATGAGTAAAGACAAGTTAAGCCCACAAAAAAATCAAAAATAATTTTGATTAAAAAAGCAAATTTACCTGAAAAAACATGCGACTAGAAAAAAATATTAAAACTCTGGCCATCAGAAAACTGGGAAAATTGCATTCACACATTACTAAAGAGTGACAGCCGTAAGAGATCTAACTACATCACATCTTAAAGCAGTGTGCTGTTTTCCTTTAAATGACAAAATAAAACAAATAACTGTGTCAAAAGTTTATGATAAAATGATTATTGTGAAACAAAACCCCAACTTTGACATTTTGCTAAATCCCAATATAAAACAATATAAAGTTTTAGATGAATGCAAGCGATTACCTTTTACAGAAACATCTTTGGTACATTTATAAAGATGTAATTTTATCAGAATCAGAATAAGCTTTATTGTCATTGCACAGTGAAGTACAGCAAAATTTTATTCCATATAGTCCTATGAGAGATGGATGGAGTGTACGTGGCTGCAGCTCCTAGGAGCACGGCCCATATTCTTTAGATAAGAAAAGGGGAAAGACCATGAGGATAGTGGGTACTTAAAAAAAGATCTTTTCACAACTTGTCCTTGTCAGGACACAGTTTAAGACATCAAACAAATCTACCAGGAAGCACATGTATAGACACATTACATATGCATTTGATGACTGGATGGTGAGATTTGTCCATGAAACACTTCCAGATAGTACCATAGTCCTGATGAGATGTTAAAGTGTCAGCCGGTACAGCACTGATAAGCGCTTACAGAAGTTCTCGGGGGGTGTAGATAGAGCAGAGCTTTCTTGGTTTACATACCCCCAGGAGAAATTTGACAAGTTGACCTATTCAAGGCCGAACAGGGAGGCCAGATTCAGAGAAGCCACAGTTGTTTTTGTGCAGGCAGACTGGTTTTCTTGTCAGCCTTGAGTTCTGCTGGTACTCTCGATGATCCAAAATAGCCAGATTTGTGTGTTTTCTGCTGGTCTGTGCTCAGTAGCCTTCTCCAAGATCGATTCCAACATGCTGGCAAGTTCCAGAAGCCGCAAGTGGCCTACGATTGTCTTCAATCACTTCCAGCTTACGGTTGAGCTCGTAAATCAGCTGAGTCTGAGAGCTGGAAGCATAAATTAATCCTTCACATAAGGTAGGCAGCTTTGCCATGGCCGAAACTGCTGCCGATGTCTTCCTTAATAGCCGATGACATAGGTGTCCACCGGTGCCAAAAAGCACAAACCCTGCTATCATAAATCCAATGATGTATAAATCTTCGACATCCTAAAGAGACAACACAGACAGACACATCAGCTTCCACTCCCTCACGTATCCATGACATACCCTGCTGCGTATGTGGGGCATGAGGGTTCTCCAGCACCCTGTCGCTTAGTTGAAAAAATTTTATCAGTTGCGTTGAAAGTCCAGCTGACCAAATCCACAACAGTAATTTACGATTCAGAAGATGTGCAAATAGAAGCTCTGATACACAGGACAAAGAGCAAAAAACAGGAGGAAGGCAGGAGAGGGACGAAAAGGCATCCGTCTTGCTCGAGGGGGAGTTTATAATAATTAAATAACTTTCTACCTTCTCTTCATTAAATTTATTTAATCACTGAAAGCAACTAACCCTGTTGATTAAACAAAACAAAAATCTGGACTTACAGCCACACACTTTGTAGTTTTTACAAAATGTTTTAGTGTCAAATTTCTCATCTTGAAAAAACTTCTCTGAGTTTTTAAAAAGCGAAACTTACTGTTCAACTCATTGATTGACTATCCTTTTACTAACAGCACTGAATCCCACTTTTCTTTTTATCTCTTTTTGTTCCCTCCATCTCCACTTTCTGCTGACTCCTTAGCATGATCAAGTAGCTAAGCTAAGTGATGAGCGGATCACAACTCCCAAAAAACGAAAAGCACCTCCACCTCCTATTAGCCCACTGCAGGTAAACGCATGTCTGTCTGCTTGTATCAGTGTGCCACTCTGCATTAATATAAATGCACGCCTATTGTATTTATTTTAATAAAATGACCATTATAATCAGTTTGAGGGTGTTTTGATTCCATCAGTGATTTCTCACCTGAAGACAGTTTATAGTTTGTCAAAGTGCTTCATTTAATTTTTGTGCAATTTTAGAGTCCTTTGTATCAAACTGTGTTTTTGTATCTACATATTTTATACCTGCAAATAAACCAGAAACAAATGACATTTTTTTTTTTTAAAACACTGCTAGTACCTTTAAAGCTACAGAAATAGCATGCCATCGACGAGACTAAGAATTTAGGAAAGACGTTACCAGTAATCCAAAATCTCTTTCCTTCATTCGTCTGTAGAGTTCTGGACCCTCGTCTCCTTCTGTTGTTACATCTACCAGCACTCCTGCTTCCACCGAAGGGGAAACTCCCAAGAGATTTAACTACAAGGTAATACAAACATATCATGCATTATAACAAATATAATAAGTCGAAAGCACCCACGCCATTACATTTGTTGTTTCCCATATGATTTGGAATAAATCGCCATCTATCAGCTTGTTAAATCTTGTCTTCAGCCGCAAAAGGATTTCCCCTTTGTCTGTTTTCTCTCTTTCCTGCCAACCTTCACTCGTGTCTCCTCCCCTCTTTTCAAAGGAAGATGACTTCACAGGATCAACACTGAAAGAAGAGGTGGAGAAGCTCCATGAGGAAAGAAACATGTTGCTGGAGACGATCGATGACCTGAAGCAGACAGTGGAGACGGGGGCTGTTCCTGAGCTGAACACAAAGGTAATAACAGCTAACGACTCAACAGAAAGACGACTCCTTATTTTACATGTGTGCAGATTTTAAACCAAGTGTGCCAACTAGACAAAAGAAGCAACAAATTCTGTGACGTCATATTGATACACAGTATGGAGAACTGCATCCATTTGATATGTTTCTAAGTATAAACTAAATATCTACAACTCTTCAGTGGTTTCTAACTGGATAATTTGTTGCAGTTGTAAAAAAAAACCCACACGTAATAAAATTTGAAATTGTAAATAAATTATTGCTTATGAAATAACTTTTCTAAAGACAAATCTTGTCTAATTACGTACGTATTTGTAAATCAACTCTTTTTTTAAGTTTAGTCTCACAATCCTCAGCGTTCTTAAAGGAGGTCTAACCTGTGCTTACAACGTGTCATGACTTGTGTAGCCAGTGGTCCCTAATGCCGCCTTTATGTTTCCCTGTGGCGTTTGAATGTATGTGTGTGTGTGTGCGTGTGTGTGTTATTGTTGGCAGGTCGAACAAACAACTTCTGCAGCTCTGGTTTCAGCTCTACAATCCAAGATTACTTCTCTTACTTTAGAAAACCAGGAACTTGCAAACAAACTCAGGGTGAGTTTATGCTACTCTTATGTTCAAGGGTTGCAGCTGACCAAACCTGTGCTAATTACGTTTTATCTTTCTCTTTTAAACCAGGTAGTTTCTACAAAGTCATAACGTTGCAGACAAAATAATTAAAACTACACAGAAAAACACAAAAATCAACATAAACAAACAAATTTGTCAGTAAATATGACCTATAAAGGTCTTTTTAATCCACATATCACCTTCATGGCAGAATGTTATTTATTATATCTAAAGCTCCTGAGCTCCAACACGAAAATTCATTAACACAAATGTTCTGAAGCTATGCTATCGTGAAAATCATTTTCATCAACGCTGTTTCACTTGTAAAACTAAATTATTAATTCAACCTTTATTCAGACGGGAAAATCCCATTGAGCTTCGAGGACTCATTTATAAGAAAGACCTGATTATGAGTGAAACGTCTCAAACTACTTATTTCTGAGTTCATGAACAGTTAAACTGATTTGCAGCAATATTTTTCATGTGTTTTTTTAATAATATTTATTCAAAAGAAAAACCTTGTCCTGTAGTCTTGTCTGGGATAAGGTCTGAAAAATAAAGTTGATGGCTTAGATAAAAATGTTCAACAAAATACAAACAGTCTTAACACAAAATCAGGTCCTATATTTGCATCTGAAGCTGCTCTAATTCAGGAAACATCCATGTTCATATTGTTACACTTCTTTAATGAAGTTAATTTATGAAAATACAGGAGTCCCTCGTTTATTGCGGGGAATCCGTACCCTGAAGCCCTGCGATAAGTGAAAACCCACGAAGTAGGAATACTAG